TTTTTTTTTTTTTTTTTTTTTTGTAATTGCACCTTTAAAAAAAAATCAATGTTTATCCTATGAGTAAAAAAATGGATGTTGTTCCATGTATTAATTAATGAGGTAAGTAATTACTACCTCCTATTTTTAATATTTGTCGTTTTGAGAATTCACTAATATAAATACAAAAATTCAGATTGAATAACAACCAAACAATTGAATTATTTAGCTACTCATATAAATACAAAGATACAGACTGGATAACAGCCAAACAATTGAATTATTCAGCTACTCTGGTTAATCTAGTTGGGAGAATTACCCTAGAGGCTGCTAACCGGGGTATCCACGGACTAACTAACTCCCAACGTTGAGAGAATATAAAACTCCTAACGAGAGAATACAAAAGTTCCTTTAAGTGGATAATAAAAAAGCTCTACATGAGAATAAAACAAAAACACACACACACAAAAAAAAAAAAAAAAAAATTAAACTAGACTAAAGAAACGCCCTCCCCGCTACTCGAACAACACCCCGACCCATCACCACTCGAGCCATCACCGTGCAAAAAAACAAGGAACAACTACCCAATCCACGACCCAACACATGGTCGAGAAATTCCACCGACGACTAACTCGACCCGAACAGAAAGACCCGAAGTCCTTCTCTTGTTCACCACCAAGGTCAGCCACAGGAGAACCGGAACACCGCCTTCCCCCTACACAACCCCGAAGCCCTCCTCTTTCTACCTTTTGTTCCCTAATAGTTTGAGCTCCTCATTTAAAATCAATGGGATAACGATATGATCTGCCATAAATTAACATTTCGTATATGTTGCATTTGAAACTATCCTAAAATATGTTAAAGTTGTGCAAATTGTGTGTCCATGAATATGAAATCTTGGGATTTACTTGCTAATTTTTCGACAAAGGACCGTTCTTCGAGTTAGTCATCGACATTTGGCTACATTTCGTGCGCTATAAAAGTCAACCAGGTATATTTTAATGCCTGAAAATCTAATCTATCTACCTATATTTATTTTATTATATCTACCTATATTCAAATTTATTTAGGACAATTTAAGGTATGTAGAAATTCTTTAATGCTAGGGGCTGTTCCTCTCAAATGTACGAAGATTGTTTTTTAATTTGTCCAATGAATATATAATGACTAGTATGAGTCTCGTACAATACAGTGTACGGATAAGAGATATTCAGTGATATTTATAAATTAAAAATTCTTAGTAATATTTATAATTTAGAAATATGAAATCAATATGTAATACAATGACTTATTCTAATTTATTGAAAATGTTATATAACGTTTAAATTGTACAAAATTACATAAAAAATGTCTGTTTAAAATTAGTACACAACTCGTGTAGTGCACATAACTGATAATAAATCACATTATATTCGTTTCAAAGTAAGTATTATTTTAAAATTTTTATTCAGAAATTCGATTTGACGATAATGTGATTCAATAAAATAGTTATTTTGATAAAATGTTATCATATATTTAACAACCTATGTGAAAATAATAAGTATAGATATAAAATTTATATTATTTCATTACTTAGAATAATTTATTTTTGTATAAACTATTCAAATAAAAAAAAATTAAATAGTTGAGTAATATATTAAACTATAAATAATTGACTATTTCGTTTACGTCCAAATTAATATTGACCCGTGAGTTATTGAATAGTTTATTAAACTAAAAATAATTGACTATTTCGTTTACGTTCAAATAATATTGACCCGCAAATTATGTATATTATTTTTTAATTTTAAATATTTTTTTTTTATTTTTTTTTCAATATATTATACACCAAATTTAAAACATGCAACTAATAAAGGTAATAGTTCTAAGTTTTGTCAATATATTATATTCTAAATTAAAATCATGCCACTAATAAAGGTAATAACCGCAATATTTGACCAAAATAATTCTTTACATTAATCACATTAATTTAGGCGAAATTTTTCAAATTTTTGCAAAATGTATTACTCAATATAATAAATACTTTAGGCGGAAAATCAATTTTTTTTTTTTCTGATTTTTAGTTGTTATTTTAAATAAATATCACTGTCTCTTCATATATTAATAAATATCATTGTCTCTGAATATATTAAAAGATAAGTTAGAAAGTTGCGCACACGTTTAAAATGCTTGAAATATGGACTACATTTATCAAATTTCGAAAAATTCAAACGAAACATGTATGATAGTTTTTATTTCACAAAACCAAAAGTGCAGATTTATAAAAATTAACATTTAATATTTGTTTAAAAAAAAAATTAACATTTATTTTTAATCACAAAAAATATTTGTTCACAAAACGTTTTATTTGAGTTTTAGTCACCAAACATGTATAATAATTAACATTTAATCAGACGAGAAAAAGATACGCTTTTCAAATTTTAAAGTGGATATGTTTCAATAATCAATATTAACAAACCTAATCTAAAGCATCTTAAAATTGATTTGTTCATTTAACTACCAAAAATTTCTAATAATAAGATGAAGAATAGGGATAATGACCAAATTTTCAAATTTCGAAAAATTCAAATGATCCAAGGGCATGTGTCGAAAATTTTCAAACAAAATTTACTATGTTTAGTTAGTTGTTTAGGCGGGATTTTTATTTTATATTTTGCTTACTATT